AAGTGACTAGTTAAGTAATAGTATGCTTTATGACATTTTGGTCCATACAATTCAGTCTTAAGCTTTAAATTATTAAGCCTTTCTGACAAAGTAATGATGGTGTTGTCATGCTGACACTGTGCTGATGCTTTGTTTTAAAAGTACTGTATGTGAACACAATAAATCATTGAGCTTAGTATTAATTTATGGGAACAATAAAAAAGAATAAGGTAAGATTCATAAACAGTTTAAAATACAAATAACATATTTATTTAGTATATTGTTAGAACTAACACTTGTGTTACAGCAATTTCATTGGTACATTTGTAAAATTAGAAGCTTTTTTTGGGAGCATTAAAGGTGATACTATTACTACTACACTTTGCAGAATATTTCACTTTAGTTTCAGGTGGACATCCTCTATACAGTTCATTTTTAACCCCATCCCAAACGAATTTAGAAATTCTATTAGTATTTAGTAAACGTTTGCTCAGTAGTGTAAATAAGATATGTTGTCTCTTCATTGGTAATTATCAAAATCTCAGTATTCATATTCAGAAAATTTCCAATGTGCAGGGCATTGCATGAGTAGGGTCCAGATTTTGTTACTAATTATAAATGATCCACAAACAAAAGTGTGTAATTTTTATCAAACATGAAAGCTTAAACTGAATTCCTTTATGGGTAAAAGAAGTAAAACTTAAGAAAAAACTGCAAAGAAAAATAAACAACAAATACATGTTGATCGCCTAACTATTCATGTCCCTTCATGAGACAATACTTGGTAGAAGCAATTACAGCCATAGGTCTTTTCGGATAAGTCTCTACCAACTTCGCACATCTGGATGGTGCAGTTTAATCAAATCTTCTCTGCAAACTTTCTCAAGCTCTAATAAAAATTATAATAACTTATGTTTATAAAGTGCCTTTCCAAACCATATCATCATGTACTGTACATAATGATAAAATAAAACAAGAAAAAGTTTAGTTTTAAAAATGGTCAAGGAATCTGTAAATACTGACCAGCGATAGAAAAAGCATAGTCACCAAGAGTCTGACGTTTGGTCCTACAGTAGGTATAATAAGCAGAGGATCAACCTCAAATGAGTGGCGCCTACAAGAAGGAGTGTATACAAGAAAGAGTTCTGAAACATATGATGGAGCCAGATTATTCACAGCCTTATAAGCCAGTAAAAAGATCTTACTGTATATAGAACAGCTGACTTTATGGGCAAACAATTAAGATATTTAAGAACAGGATAATTAGATGCCAGGTCTTGTGTGAGTTAGAAGCCTAGCTGCAGAGTTTTGGACATACATTACAGTATTGCAATTTACTGAGGAGATTATTTGGGAAACCATAGACCAGAAATCAAGCCTTGATGTTATAAAGTATGAATCGAACACTCAGCATTGGACATTGCTAGAAATTACCTAATGTGGGCAATATTTCTAAGATGAAAAAAAGAGGTCTCAATCACATTTTTTCACATGGGTCTCAAAAGATAGGAGATGAATTTATTCTGAAACCATGTCAACCACTATTATTTTACACAGCCATTGGACCAATTGTGTGGTTTGTCAAACTAACTTTTAGCACATTTAAGCAAAAGGGGTGAATATTTCAATTAATATACAGTATTTGTAGTTTTTGAGTTTTCTTTGCATTTTGTTCTCACTTTTAACTTCTTTCACCCATGAAAAGAGTTTGGTTTCATAATTTAAGTTTTAATTAAAATATTCTATTTTAAAATGTGCATACAACATTTGTAAAGCAATTCATTTATTGGACATTATTGGAAAAAAGTTAATACTGTACATTGTATTGTACATACTGTACAATGTGTGAAGTTCATTTTTTTAAACATTAGATTTGAACAAGATTAACATACTGTATCTCTCTGTATGGTATTTTTAAACTAGCAAATAGTCCAGACATATTTGGTTGTTTTTTTTAAAACAACACTTTGTGCTTGAATGATGCAACAGAATCAGTTATCTGTTTCATGTGTTGTGAATATCCCCAATTAAAACATTTATTTAGTCATGTAGTTGCTGAAATTAGAACTATATTCCCCTTGCAATCTCTGTGATGTGACAGGTTTAGCACATCCCTCCAAAAAATCCCATATGCTTTGAAAACCCCAGAATTTTTCAAGCAGGAATCTACTCAGCACTGTCTAGCATTTTAATGAAATTAGACCATGATCTGAATTACTTCACTTGCTGATCTTATCTAGGTTTGTTTTATACACTGATGTCTCTTAGAGCAGGTATCTTAAATTAGATACTTATGCAAAGCTCAAAACCTGGTACAGTATGTTTTACATATTGTTAATCTTAAATCAACGTAACTTTGGGCAGCAAATGTTTAAAGACTAACAGTTTCATACAGTGAGAATCTTCTTTTCTTTCTGAAACATAACTATTAAAAAATGCGATACGTTTATTTTTTGCTTGTCTACTATGGAGAATTAAACTAACTTGTCTTTTGAGCATTTAAGCCGTGAAGATCTGTGCTAAGCACCTTTTTAACCCACAGAGGATATGATTCGATGTGTGTAAGAGGGTAAGGGGGATTCAAATATGAAGTGTCATTTTAAAATGTACTGCAGTTGTATAAAATAAGCCTACTATGCGATCTGTAGTCACATTATTAGATGACAAGTTTTGGTTCATTTTGAATGATGTTTCAGTGTTGAAGCTTATAAGTATATTTTGGTCTTTTTGTTTAACTTAGAAGTGCAAACTACTGTAATGAACTTAAAGCTTACTTACATTTTTGAGATCTTTCAAAGGTTTTATATGGTTAATTTAGTCAAGAAATGTGAAATCCAGGCTGATGTGGTGGTACAGTATGGCTATTAATGCTGCTGCCTCACAGCTCTGGTTTTAGGATTGATTGCAGATTGGGGTGCCCACTTTGTGGAGTTTGCATGTTTTTCCCAGACACTCTGTTTCCTCTTAACATCGAAAGACATGCTGGGTAAGTGGGACCTCTAATTTGTTGCACTTGTCTATATGTGTTACTGTATATGTGCTCATATGTGTACAGTACTGTATGTGCCTGATAGACTGTAATGCTGTCCAGGGTACAGTCCTGTATTGTGTTTTATGCTTCCAGAACAGGTTATGGGTTGTCACAAAAATTTAGATGAATAAGGAGCTTTCTGGAATGCTAAAGGAAGGAATGTGGCAATTGTCTTTTAACCTTTTGTGGAACTAATATTCAAGTGGTAAAACGCAAAATTACGTGAAAGCTTGTTCAGTAGCAGCTGTTCGGATTACTCCCTGTGAATCTACAAATCCCTTTTCATCCCAAAAGGGATGTATGGACCATTAGAAAAAAATAATTCACAGAAAACAATCTGCACCCTGTGGTGCATCAAGGTTTCAGTGTGATCTCCATATAGCTTCCCTGGCTGGTAATAGTAGTATCTTTAGAAAAAGGAGACATTCTTTTCCTCCATCCAAATGAGAATCTTTACTCAAAACCTTCAGTAATTGCTTTATATCTGACAAATATTTTTGAACTGTTCATCCACCAAAGCATCACCCCCATCCAGTAAAAAAAAAAGGCACAGAAAGCAATTACAGTTTCGAGACAATTTGGTATAGAATGAAACGCCACATGACATCTCCCAACAACTTGTTTTGTGGGCGAGTACCGTTCTGAGATTACTGCACCTCAGCATCGGGGGAGATAAGAGGAATGACATAAATTAAAATAAATTGTCCAATGCTAGCTGTGAGAACCTTGGGAAACAATAGAAGTAAAAGCATAAATGTCAATTTGGAATGATAAAAGATACAATCTAAATGTAATGGGAGCAGCCCCAAGACAGTAGGAGGTAATAGAAATTGTGATTTTAGTAGGACTCAGTCTGCTTAAAAATAAATGAAATAGGGTAATTAGAAAACAGCAATTGAACCCATTTTATTGTGAATAAAAGCTTATGGTGGTGCATGGCAGAAACTTGATCAGTGAACTGCAAACTGATAGGGCATATGGTACCGAACACTGATCGCTACAGAAAATGGGCTAAGAGGCTGTGTTGTGTGTGTGGGGTGGATCCCAGGAGATCTTAAATGGCAGCATTTCACAATCATTTTCAATTGTGGAGCCAAAATACGATTTTCAGGCGTGTGTTTGCCACATTCTTCCACTCAGCTTCCTCACAGAGGCAGTCCTTATTTCCAGCCCAGCAAGTTTACATTTCCCGGAGGGAAAGCAAGTTCATTTGTCTATTGAAACCATCAGTAAACTTTGCTTCTTCAACAGGCCGGGAGCATCTTACTCCTGGCACACAGAAGAAATCGTTATTACAATCCTTACAGGGTTTTTTGGTAAGAAAATGTAATACCCAGTGGTCTTTATATCTTTTTAACAGTACATTGCATTAATACCTTCAGTATGGTTTGTTAGCAGGACACACAGCAGATGTCAATTTGCATCTTTGATACCTTTAATATAATGCTTGCTCCTGGCAGTCAATTAAGTCAGTTAGGATACTCTCGTCATCTAGTTCACATGAAAATATTTTAACAGATTCAACTACTAGCGTAATATTCTATCGAACTGTTTTGTGATTTTGGGAGTCTAATTCTTCCATATTTAAACAAGCATATTACTTTGTGCGAAAAAAAATATAGAAGTCCAAATCTCTGTCAAACATTTGCTCACGAACAAAAAGAAACCAAACAGAACCACCCCTGTTTTTTTCATAGATTTTTCATTTTGTCCTCATCTGTACTGTAACATAGCACGTGTGACCCTGGAATGCCTAGGCCACAAATACCATTCACTTCACTCCACATTTTTCAGTATGAAACACCTTCAGTATTACACTAGAATAAATATATATACAATTTACAAAGAGGGCCAAACCACTGTCACAGATGGAGAAAAAACAGGCACTGTACCGCACAAACACACCACACATCTTCACCACTCTGTAAGGGATTGATTTCTGAGAGTCGAATCTAAACCAACTACAGTTAACAGGGATAAGCATACTCACATTGAGTTGTCTTCCGAATAAAGGCAAGGGCTGTTGAGAAATGATCCAAGATTGTTAGAGTAAAACTACTTAACTACTTGGTTATACAACTTTTCCTACAAAATGGACATCGAACTGACCTGAATAGAAAATAGTTGAATAGTCAAAATAAAAGGTACTTGAATGTACTGTACTGTGAAAGACAAAGACTTAACACTGTAATGGTATGGGATTAAAAAAAATTAAAAGTCTACTGATAAACACTAAAAACCAATAAAATTATACAAGAAATGAACAGGTTATAACATTCAAACTCCTAAACTGGGTTAAGCTCTTTTAGAAAACATATGCCAATGTGTTTTTTACAGTTTTTTTAAACATAGCATGCGGTATTAATCATTTCATAAAGTAAAAGTGTCCATTTGGTTAGACTAGCATATATCTACAGTATGTAGAACATTAGACAATTAAAAGAAATTCAACTATTTGGCCCCTATTTCTAGTAGCTATTTGATCTAATGATCTTATCCAGCCATTTTTTGTAAGATGCCAGAACATCATCAACAACATGGCTGGGTAGCTTTAAGTCCCCCTCAACACAATGTGTAAGAAAGTGGCTCCTTTTTTGGCTTCTAGCAAAACTAAGTGAGATGAATAACCTGCTCTCATTCAGTTTGTGTATTTGGAAATTTAAAATGTCTTGATTTATGTCTACACATAGCCAAACTCTAGTATTAATAAGGCAAAATAAGGCAATTTTGACAAGTCCTTAATTATCTTCCTTTACTTTTTTAATGGGAGGGTGTTAAAAGATACTAAACTTAAGCAAAGGTAAAATGTCTTGGATTTGGGGAAAAGCAAATGGTGGAAGCCTTTAAATATTCAGGATACAGAATTTCCTCTAAAACTAGTTATCTTCTCTAATTAAGTCAATTATAATTTAAAAAGTAAATAACTGTTCATTCGAAAACATACTGTAAGAGGATTCTTTACATTTAAATTCTTTAAATTCTTTAAAGTTTTAATTGCATAAATACAAAATACATATTTGTATTTATTGTGAATTATTAAAATCCGATTTTGTAAATATAATATTTTGTATTTTAACACAGACAAATCTTTCTTTCTTATTACCCAAAATCTTTCTTACATAGAAAGTCAATAAAATATTCAGAGCATCATTCTTTTCATTTCCATGAGGGTAAATGCACCGAAATGTATAAAGAGATAAAAATAGTAGAACCAATATAAATAATGTATAGACATGGCACTTGAGTGCTGAGCTCTTATGAGCAGGCTTCATCCAGATGCTGCATTTGCTTTGCTAATGTATAGACTTGTACATTTTAGTTATTTGTTACATATTTTGGAACATTTTTCAGGGCCAAATATACGCAAACTACTGATCAAGCACTGCTCATGATTTCATTTTAAATGTTATTTCACAGTTACAGCATGAACATATCCAGTCAATATGTATAATAAATGTGTAAAAGATTATGTATTTTTTTAAACCATATTTTATAACATGCAGAAACCTCACAGCAAATAGCATGAAAGTTTGATATGTCATAATATTACATAACAGACCATGCATAATCGGAATGTCAAATCCATTACAAACTGAAAGAAAAAAGAACAATGATGTAAAAAATGAGAGAACACGTGAAGAAATTAAGTATTACAATCAAGAATACCAACACTGACATCTATTAGTGATAAAGAAAGAGCTGAAAATCACTACAAAGACTTAATAGCTATTTCACAAAGTAGCAAACACCTTGTCAGCAATCTAGACAATTACTTGCTCTGTTTAAAAGAGTCTGCGTTTACATTGTGAATAATATAGTCCTATTTTGTTTGAAGTATGGAATAGAGATTGTAATGAGAAATGTCAATAAGACAGCAGCACTTCAGGCAACTAAACAGGCGATGACACATGCGGTGGGTATGATTGGGAATGTTAGATGGTGCCAGTGTGTCAAAAAGAACATAGGCAAAAACTGGTTTAGTAGCTATTCCATAGGTCATTTTCACAGTAGAAAGCATTGTTTCAGACAGTAGTCAATACATGCATCATATCAGCCTTGATGTTGAGGGTATTCAAGTTCAGCAGCCCACATTCTGAATTCTATAAAAAGACAAGCCTCCCACTGTTTGCTGCAGGCTGAGAACCTCACTGCCCTGAAGTGGTGTTCAGTTTTACTCTAAAACATACAATACGCCCTGTTTACTGCTTTTCCCTGGTTTTTATCACTTCAATCTATCTAAAAAGCTCTTGCTGACTTTATCGTAAAATATCCCAAATGTATCTATCCCCAAAGGTGTCTTTCTTTATTCATGTGCAGACATATCTTACAATGCAATGCTCACCACTGAATCTTTCTGGCCATTTTGCGCATTAATGAAATGGAATATTTTAACAAACCTTCAATCACAAAGCCAGAGTTATTGTTTAAATCTGAAATATGTCTGCATTTTATGGGTCGGGGGGGGGGACGACTTACGGTATATTTACAGTACAGTACTTAAATATATTTTTTAAGATTTATATTTGATTTAACAATTCAGTTGTATTTTTTTTCAGCTGGATTCATTTAGTCCTACTGTCTCTCCATCTTTGGTAATACAGCACAGAATTGATTCTTGCCTGGTGGTAAATATCCTTTAATTAATTTAAAGTTAATATTAAGTTAATTTAAAAAAGTGAAAACAAATAGCTTGTTCAATTATAAAATAGTTTTTGGGTCCAATGACAGCAACATTCACTTCACAGGTACTGAAATGGTTCTAACACAGTTTGGACAATTATTCTATTTTGCAGCGCAGGAAATTCAGCTTCCAGGAAGTATAATTTAGCCAATTCCATCAGGCTTTTACATGAGAGGGAAACAAGTTCACAATGACTAATGTGTTTGTGCTTTGCCCCTCCAGTTGAATTGCCTTTCATGATAATTACGCTTCAAAATATTTGCAATATGAAAAAAAATGGCTTCTGTATTTATTCAGTGTGTTGCAATTATTTTTCTTTGTGACATCTCTGCTGAAAAAGGGAAAGGATAGACCTTGGTGAAATTTAAATAAGAGGAAAAAAAGGCAAAGAACTCAATATGCATTTCTGTGTATCTTCTTTCACTGCGGTCCTGATTTTTACGCTTGGCTTTTCCATTTCTCCAATTCACAAACATGCAAAAATATCATTTTATATTAAAAAAATGTCCCTAAACAGGATTTGCAACTCAAAGAGTATTACTTCTTGCTAACAGTTCTACTTTGGAGACAAAATAATTAACAAGATGGGGTATTCCAAATCACCAAAAAGGAGTCTTGAATGATACTTAAAAGAAAAAAAAATATTTCAATTAGAACTTCCAGACAAAATGTTATTATTTTTCCAATGCCTATGTTTTGTTCAAACTGATTCTACCTATAACGTATTTCAAAATATTTTCTGCACCTGTACTTCTGTCTTTATTGTCATATCTATAAGATGGTGGAGCGTTCACAAAACAGAGATCCCAAAGTCTCTGGATTACGCAGAGCCAGGTTATTGAGGAAAATGCATACAACTAGAAATACAGTACCTTTTGGGGATTTGTAACATCCCAAGCTATCATTAATTTTAGAGCAACACCCATCAATTTTGCATTGCCACACATTCTAAGCTAATTCTAACATTTGCCTTAAAAATTACCTTCCTATAAATTAATCAGTAGCAAAGTGTCCAGCTTGGCATATGTAAATGCTAGGCTCGTGTATGTGGCAGTGACAGGAAAAAAAAGCAAAAATACATTAGTGGTTTAGCTTCATGATACTCTCTGGTGTATCATCTTGCAGTGTTATTTGTGCCATTCTTCAGCTAGTTAGTGCTAGAATGGAAAAGTAAAATGTAGTGTAAAACTGAAAGCTTAAATGTAAAATCATCATACAGAATCTTAGAAGTCCTTAGAAATACACATAGAATTCTAGAATTCTCCCAAACTGCTGTTCTGGAAAAGGAAAGTAAACTATTACAATATTGTATGCCCTGCCGAAACTCCTTTCAGCCAGCGTTAATTGAATGGATAGGTTGAGGAGTCTCTAAGAATATTTAAGCAGAGTGAGAAGATTGATAAAGTCAAGCCAAGATATTCCTATAATCTCATAATAGACAATAGGACTAGATGACATAGTTGGATAGAGATGGCTATAGTTCATATTGTGGAGATACATGTGGTGGGGTACTTTACATTTTGCATCGCTTTATGAAAGTCTAGGGATTAGAAGCCATAGAGATATTAACAGTTTAAGCAGAACTGTGCTTTCTTATGCAATTATGCAATTATTATGCAAACATTAGGTTTTTATTCTTCTAATAATCTGAGGCTAAAACTTCCCTTGTTAGTCAATGCTGGAGACACTACAAAAAGCATTTTTCATCCCATTTACTACTATTTCAAGAATTTAAAAGCAAATGAATGTTAAGGAGAAACTGATGAGGATAATCTGTACATTTAATAGCTATGGTATACTAGCTATGTATAACTGCTTTAATAGCTATGGTAAACTGGTAAAAGACAATCAATAAATGTATGGGAATCCTTTAAATACTTTTTAGCCATTGTTTTTATTCTAGCAGAGCCTAAACATTCTGCTAGAGCATCAACATTTAAATCAGTTTCTCACAGAAGCTGTCAGCAAAGGTTCCCAGAGGTAAAAGTTCAGCAAGAAATTTAACCAATATTACAGAATTAGCCTTGCTCACTTGGGAAAGCTATTTCTGCCACTTTTATCTTGTGACTAATCCCAGTATGGAAAGTGTTAAAGGATGTTAAGCTGAGATAAAAGGTATCACCTAAAAGAAAACCACTGTATGACATATGGAGTTGGATAGTGAATTTAGTGTGGAAAGAAAAGCCCTAAAGAAATAAAAACCCCAGGTAGAGGGAAAAGGTCACCAAAAAAAAACCTGGGGAGCCAAATACTACCACTTCTGAAGGGAAATTTAATCAAACGGAACAGATTGAAATGCAGTTTCAACAGACTGTGAATGGCACTGAAGGTATGCATGGGGAAATACTCCATGGCTGTCTGTTGTTATGAAAAAGAAATCTTTGCAGAGTGACATATCAACAGTATTTTCAATGACTCTCGCTGTTCTGGTTTCTTTAAAATACAGCAGCCAGTTAGCAAGCAAACCACACAAATAAGACCCCCAGAATAGCTCAAAAATATATATTCACATTCCAGGTTCTTTGGGATTTTTCATTAAATTTGATTTTGTGTGAAACTACTGGTTTCTCCACCCATTAGAAAGACTCAGTCTTCTTGTCACCCATAAGTGACTTTTCATACAGCACATAGAGAGAACATGACACCAAATATAAAAACATAAAAAGGTCCATCATCTTATCCTTCAGAACATCAGAAAAGTAAATAAACTGAAAGTGTATAATACAGTTGTGTGCTGGTAGGTTTATAAAGTGTTATCTTCCAAAAGGAAGAAAAAAATCAATATATCTACTGCAAACTCGTGCACATTTCTTTCTAGAAGAACAAAAAAATGAACACATTACACTGTATACAGTAGCACTGTATTAAACATTTCTATCATAGACACCACACTTGCCACATTATTCACAAATGAGTGTAATATCCTCTGCTTATTATTTTTTATTTTAAATTTCTTCCGGGATGGTGATGGTGATGATGATCTTCTAAAAGGTTTTAATTGGTCTAGACCATTTCAATCTGCTTATCAGTAATATTGGTTCAGTTAAACGAATGTGTGCATGGCAGCATTGTGCATGCAGCTCAGCTTTGAAAAAGATCTCATCATTACAGCCCAGTGATTCTGCATTTTCATTCACTGACAAAATAGGGTAGTGAGCACAGCTATAAGTGGAGCTTCTTCTCCGTTGCAAACTTTCTTTCCTACCACCACTGTGATAGCCTCATTACAAAATGTTCACTTGCCAAATTCAATACACAGCAAAGAAGCACTTAAAATGAGTCCTTGATAGGTTTACGAGCCTTGCAGGAAAGAAAATAAGATCCGTGTCTTACCGTTAGTGGTAAATGAGAAATGAAAAAAAAATTGAAAAAAGTTATGAGTGTATACAACATTGTTATTCAAGATTCATCAAGCAATGCAAATCATGTATTGAGTATAAAAATAAATCCATTAGGTTAACATCACATTGAGAGACACTGCAATTTCCAATTTCATTTCAAGGTTGTTTTTTGAGCAATTACAGTGTCAGTCTCTGCACTGGAAAGGTTGAATTCATTTACTGCGTGGTTACTCTAGTTATGATTGATGTTGCTTTACCAAATGGTAAACCAATTACTCCAATGATGTAATGTCATTTTAAGAGGGCTATAATCACATTGCTCTCGAACTTAAAGCCTTGATGAGCTTTAATAAAGATTTATAGCAGATTAAAGGCCTTTGCAGCATTAACAATGCATTGCATTTCATGGTTTTCCTTTTGTTAAATACACCAAACACAAGAAAGGGTAAGGTGTGCAAAATTTTACCCAGAATACTGTAACCTTCATTAGATAACACAATCAAATGTATCTAACACACGCATAGAAACTGTCTGTTTAAAGCTGGTTTAGGTTTCCTTATATTACTTTAATCTCACCATAGCAATCAAAGTACAACAGTGTATCATAGGTGATCTCTTTCAGTATAGTACAGTAAGATATCCATGAAAGATCATGAAATGGAGTCAGGAGACTACTTTTATACTTTTATACTTTTTTTCAAAATACAGTACATGCTGAAGATTGACTGAATTAATTGACTGCTGTTGAATTGACATCAATGCATATCTGCAAGGCTAGAATATTAAAGCCAATGTTATTTCAGATAAAATAAAATCAATTAATAAATTAATAAATTGTCTGTTCTCTAAAATGATAAATTGTACCAATTAATTTGTTAGAAGAATCTATGCAATTGTGCTTCACATAACAAATTCATTGTTCTTCTATTGTTTATCTTATGTACAAAAATACAAACTGTTGCCCATTTTGTCTATAATCATTTAAGTAAAGCCACCTTATCACATATATTTTAAGTAAAAGCTGGACCAAATTGGGCTGAGCAGTATAATTCTGAGGAGGCTCGTTTTTGAGACATACAGTAATATTATTCCATGGAAGAAGGCCACCTTTACTTCTGATCTGAATTAATGCAACAAACCTGTGTGCTCCATCTTCCCAAGACCGCATTGCCTCAAAGACATTCAAGGGATTTTCACAAAGACAGAGAAAAATTATTATGCTTCTGCCTATAAAAAAGGCTTTGAGCTAGGACAATTTAGTGGAAAATATGAAATACAGAAGGATCTGGAAGACAGGACTCTCTTTCTGTTTGGATGACTTTGAGGTATATTTAAAGTTTAGGCTTCGCTACAGATACTTCAACCAGAACAAAGCTGATGTGTTCAGAGAAGAACAAAGAGGTTTGAGTGAAAAGCAACATTTACAGTTAAACTGAAACGGGAATATCCATGAAAAAGATGTATTTTTTGCAAAATATTGCAAAACAGCAGTGCTGCCTCATTCCTGAATGAGGAAGTATCCCTTACTCATACAGTACAGTAGGTAAATGACAGTGAGTACCACTTTCTACTCATTTGTTCTAAATGTATTTGAATCTCTTGCAACTTTATTTGTAACAGAATATTTTCAGATTTTTCATGAAGAGAAAATATATTAAACTTTTCCAGGCACAGTCTATTATCCATGATTCATTTTTCAAATACACTTAATGTAACATTACTGCTTTTAAAAAGTACTTTCTCAAGGTATTAATTAATCTTCAGAGAGCTGATCATTTGTCAATTGCTATTCAAGGACAAATGCAATGTTCCCATTTGAAAGACACAATAATGGTGGCATTCATCATAAAAAAAACACATCGCTGAAAATTATTCCGAAAAAAAAGTCACTTGAAAACTTCAAAGGGTTTTTATTCAGAAACACACTTGTTGTTAGGCCTAAATAATCCTCAGCTACTGTAACTATGGCTATCCAATCAAGACATGTTGTGCCTTTGGTTTAAATTAAGTGGAGACTAACAATGCAGTTTCCTACAAGCAGTCATTAGCGGAAATTGTTCGGCATGTCAAAAATGTAAAAGCCTGTATTTTAAAAAGTTAATTTCAGGTCTCTTTCAGGTTTTGTTAAATACTTAAGTTTGTCCTGATGTATTTTTTCTACTTGGGAAAAAAACCTACCAATAATCTTACAAAATAAATTACGTTTTACAATATATTTATACAATAATTACATTTTTTCTTTTTTCCCCAGAACAGATTTTTTTTCTGAAAGGAAATATTAAAATAAAATTAATGTGGACCTTGATTTCCAATATAAGTGGAATTGCCAACTGTTTTCTTCAGAAAAAAAACTAATATTTTACCTATATACACTGCTGTGCAAAATAATCAACATTTATGCTATATGTTAGGAGCACACATACTGTATACTCAATGCCCCTAGAAGTTGTTAAAACACCTTTGACGATTAATAGTACAACCTTGTTCGAGTGAGAAGAAACCAAGATAAACTACATACTGTTTATCTGCCGTAGAGGTGCATAGTCTATATAGTGTAGCGGCAGTTAATCTATCACATTTGTCAATCATTTACAAGTTAAATCATCACTAATATCATTATTCCTCTCTACACATCCAAAAACATAAAAGGCCACTTTTTGAATTACAAAATAAAGATCTAAGAGGATATACTGGTATCATAAAAAATCTAAAACATCACTATGGAATTGCTTTCAGGAAAATTTTAACCAAGGGAAATTTTAACCAAAAGAGTAAAACAATGAAAAATATAAGACTCTTGCACCTCAGTGAGTAGCTGCACTGGAAGGATGGAAAGATGGATGGTTGAATGACAGACAGATAAACACTTAGACGGATACAGTACACACTGTAGATACAGATATAGAAATGGCTGCTCTGTACTCTGGTACTCAAGCATCACACTCAGTCAGTTGTTGAGATACTTTAATAGACACCGGCCCATACAGTAGCTACGAACTTTGCCTTAAAATCAGATATCCCGACATGAAAGGTACTGGAGAGTTCTTGTTTTCTTACCAGGATTGGGGGGCTGTGGCTGGCCAGCACACGTTCTCAGCAGGTATGTGTTAGGGGAGTACTCGTCATCAGGGTTGGACTCCAGGATGGGGTGGGAAGCGTTGCTTTCTAGCAACGGCATCTGACAATCTCTAACGCCACCAGGTGAAGGGTGATGGGAGCCAGTGGGAGGAGCAGGGGCAGGAGGGAGGAGGCTTGATGCAGGAGTGGGTGGAATGGGGCGACCTGAGGAATGGATAGAGGGGTCAAAGGTTATCAATGGATGACATGGAGCGAGTGTAGACAATTTCAGAAACAAAGTAAATTGTAATTGTAAATGCACGTGCCTACTAGTTTCAAGAACCATTTTTACAGCTTTGAACTTGGATGTATTGAGCTATTAATTTTTAAAGATTTTCACTAAATTTGAATATCTACTGCCCCTATAGAACAAACAAATAACAGTAAAGAGATATTTTTTTAATCTCATTTGAAGGTTTAAATAACTGTATATGTTATAAACCTACATGGCATTATTTTTTTTTTTAAATCCGGTGTGGCAGGACTGCATTTTTTTAACAATATCATAACTTTGTATAACATATTTGTAAAACAAAATATACTGGTTAAAAAGCAATAAATGGTGTTGACATTTTCCATGACACAAGCTGTAAAACAGTACAAGTGGTTAATATATTGACTTAGAAACTAATTTTATCAATCCCTATCTAAACAAATGTAATTTTCCTAGTAGAAACATACTGTACTTGGAATACAGTTTATAACTGCAACAAAAAGGTGCATACATCCAACTTTCAGCACTCTTTTTGTTAACCTAACCTTAAATTATGAGGCACTCTTTTCTTTTTCCTGAAGAGGCTCTTGAAGCTATTAGACTCATATTTGAATACCATTTTAATGAAAACAGCTGCTTCGTGATGCCCTGTTAACAGTTATCTTTTAAGCGCAAAACCCTGCTAAGAGACAATAACATATGAAACACCATCATCTGCTGCACTTTTATACCTGCTTGTCTAAAAAAGGACATTCAGGAGATTCAGAGTACACCCAGCAAGAAAATTGTGGTGAGAGGATTTAATTACCTATAGACTTACACTGAGCTCAAAATACCTGACATCAACGTTTTTTTGTCTTCTTTTTAATTTAATTAGGCAATCCATCGCCTAAATGCCAGCAGATGGTGAACGTAGTCTCTTGTCAGTTTTGAACCTGAAACCTGACCTGAATGCCTTTTTCCTTTTAGTTCCAGGTACCCTTCACAAGGGATCTTAAAACTGTGTTTCAGTTTTACAACATTTTCCTATGGCTCTCATACAATGCTCAGGTCCATGATGTTAATGCAATAATAATAGATTATTTACACAGGTATCACAGTAATTTACCTGACATTTAAAAAAAAAACTTAAATATGTTAAACAATCAAGCACTAATCCAGTGATATATTATTTGTATGGGACATATTGTCTAATGCCAAATAAAAAAAAATGTAGATGTGTGAATATCACAGGAAGCTGATGCAAGAGAAGACCTGCTCCCATCAGAACTCATTACTCCTCACCTCACCAGATTACCTTCAGAGTACAAAGTGAGGTATTGAAGAGTCCTGTACTTGACTCTGGACCGATGATGAGATTTGGATTAGATGAGAAAATGAATAATTTGACTACTGAATGGGTGTTGTGTGGCTGGGGCTGGTGTGTGTGACAGGGCTCGAGCTGGTTTCTACTGCTGGTGTTTGATAAATGCTGATAAATGTAATCAACCGCAAAAAATGTCAAACTGTCAAAAACTGTAATTTTAATGTGTCTTTTGCATAGTGGACCAGTAAGTGTCACTCCTCCTACTGGAACAAAAAAAGCCATAGTATGGTAATAGGGGTAACACTGCTCTAGGATGTGATGTACCTCATATACTGTAATGCATTGTCAATAAGGATCAATAAAGATCCTATGACACTGCTGATACGAGTAGGGATGTTAACACTGGTTTCTATGTTTCATTCCCCTTCCATCTTACATAATCTGACCTTCCTAAATGTTTCCTTTAATTCAATTAGCAAAGTAAATCTTACATCTCCACCTGATCTATTGTATAGTGGGCCTCCTGGTACATAATGGCAGCAGCACATCTTCCAGCCTGCACCTGAAATGCAGATAGGTGCTGTTCTTCTGTGCTAGATGAAGTGGTTCCCCTCCTATATCTGAAGTGCTTTGGGATTCTTTGGAATGAAAAGCTCCATACAAATGCGAGTAATTATTATGTATTATTACTGACGTAAAAGGATAGCGAATGAATACACTCAGCAACAGTGCCTTTAGCCCAGCTTTTTCATCAAAGAACACAAAACACAACATTCTGGTTTTCGTTTTTGCCAAAAGCCGAAATACATTAAGATTTTGTTCTTTTTCTCTAAATGTTCTTCTTAAAATCTGAAATAACATATTTGAAGGCACTATTTATAATGAATGAGCACGACGAACTAATGACTATTACTCTGAAAAAAAACAAGCACTGAATTTGCATGTTAATGTCAAATAATTCTTCAGAAAATATATTTTAAATCTGATCATTTATAGTCCTTCTGACTGGGCATTTTTGAATATAAAAACTCCAATAGACTCACGCATCCAGTAAGGATGGTTTTCTATGAGGAAAGCAAAAAATGTCTGGCATGCCTTTTCCAAGTTTATATTCATTCACCTCTATTATGATCGTGATCAAGAGCTTTCAGAAAGCAGGCCTGTGTGATTGTACAGTAATTAAAATGGCACACACAGTGCAAGCCAGAAGGTAGGTGGGAAAAATCACACCTTCAATAATGAACAAGTGAAAATTTGAGGTGTAATTACTAGCTGGGAAGCTAGGCATCAGTGTCGGTTACCTTGAAGGCATGGTAGTCTCATTTCCACCCTAAGTGCTAATGCTTTTTTCCCACTTTCAAGGGTGGAAGTTTCACCAAGGCTTTGAGGATTACAAAAAAGCTAAGAAAAAAAACAAAAAAAAAACAAAAAGTAATCTTAAGCTTTTAATAATTTATATCTATTTTTGTACATGACTCTGATATCATGTATGAACTTCTTTCAACACTCCATTTCTGTTCCACATGGTGCAAAATCAGATACTGTTTATGGAGTGTTGTGTATTTTATAGTTTTCTAACTGGAATATATAAAGTCCATGAAATCCTTTGCAAATTCTTATCTTTATTTTTTTGCCAAACTTGCCCCCTTTCATTTGATCGCAAAAATGTTTTCTTTAGGTTAAGACATCTCACAAAAATGAAATTATAATTTTCAGGACATCACACCAGTAACAAATTCATATCTTCTAACCACTATCAGATGTGAATACAAAGAAATCTGTTAAGTGGTGTGCAGATAAATAAAATGCATTAACATCCAAAGCCCACATTTCTCCATTATTTTCTTTAATGCAAAATAAATGACAAATATGAGTTTGTATAAATGATTTGGTTTTAAATATTTGCGGAAATTGAGGTTTAAGGTTACGAAATTCCCTGTTTGGAATACAAAACACACTAAAATGGACATAAAAGGGCCTATTTTCATTCAACTGGCTAATAGCTGAGGACATGAAACTTAAAAAAGCTGGAGTATGGAAACTAATCTCATTAGTCCAACAATAAGGTCAGAGTAACCGTAGCAAATCTATTGGAGCCCACATAGTCAAACAGGTTTCACAGTGAACCATGAAAGAAAAAAAATAAATCAGAGCTGCATTTTCCCACCGTTGTGTCCGGTCTTACAATACAATACCATGATTCCTTTATGACTATTAATTGTGCTAATCCATTATTCAGCCCAGTTTAAAACCTAGCCAAGTTTTTACACTGATCCACTGATGTTTGATGCCTTCCTGCAGTAATATAATGACATTTCCAAATTAAATTTTTGGAATACTCTTTCATAAAATGTTTGAAAACGAGCTATATCAAGAGCCTTCTAAAATACTTTTTCTCTAAGGACCAGTGAGCAGTCATGTAATTTGTTGCCAAGTAATAAAGAACAATTCTTTTCAAAAACATTAGCCCTAATAAAATGTTTCAATTTAATTTTAGGATCAAAACCAGAGATACTGTACAAGCAAATGGCTGCTCATTCCTTCGAAGACCCTCAATAAAATTTTGAAAACTAAAGGGGACTTGATTATCAACCAGTACAAACCGTATGGGAGTAACAGAAACACTCTACTGCTGTGCAAGCAGTAGGAAATGAATGGAGTTTCTTATCAGCCCTGAAATGTTCAAATTTACTTTTGTTATGCACTCACATAATTACATTCATAAAGCCTGCCGATATCAAAAGATGTACTTGTTCCATTTACATTTTTATAACCCAATGAAACACTGTTAAATAAGCAATCCTAAAGACAGAGCTTCCTGCCAGTCAAATTGGGAGAGTGCTCATGTCTTGCATGCATACATATGAGAATCCCAACACTCATTAAAAGGGAAAATATCCTAATCAAACTTGTCTGTCTAAATGACAGTGCCCCCCTCTTCAGCAAATTAACGAGAACAATTTCTGAATCTCAGATGCTGTCAAACAGGGGCTTGTTGACCAATTTATCTTACTATCAACCATCTCTGTTGCTTGTCAATCAATAAATGAAACATTCATTGTTGATTGCAGTTTCTCTATCTCCAGAGCTAACTGTTTTCTACCAAGCAATTTACTGGGAGTCAATCAAAGTCAGGCTAGACTTTCCTTAAGTAGAGCAGAGTGAATTTTATTTAATGGTAGCTGAAACAATGCACAACAAGTGAATTAATTATCAATCCATTTCTTGTACACCGCATACAAGCAAAACATCTTTTCAGATTCTCAATAAATGAATTATTAAGCATTGCAGGCTTTTTTTTTTCTTTGAATAAACATAATTGAAAGTAAAAAGAATTATGTACTGTACATAGAAATAAAACTGCAGTATACCTATAGTATTTTGGAGTTATTGTTTGCTTTCATAATGTTAAAGCAAACTGAGAAGAGCTGCCACCAGGTTCATCTGGGCATTTTGATTTTACTCTTATTTTCATTAACAACCTCCTACTGCAGGATTGCATTGCCAGATTTACATCTGCAAGCCCGATTTTCAGTAGCTTATGGGTAACATTTTTAGCAAGCATTATTTTTTTTTTTGTTTGTAAACTCAAAATCCTATCATGGATTTCACCAGTTTATCTTAAACTAATATCTCAGAAAGGTT